CCCAGAAAAGTAGTCAATTTTGTTATGGAGAACTGAAGGGAAAAACAGAAAAATAAAAAAACAAATTTTTAAAAAAAAAAAAAAAAAAAAAGTTCGAAATGTATCCTCGATGAAATTTTTCATACCGGGATGAATATCAGGCCCGTGATGAATATCACCATAAGAAGAATTCTCGGGAATGCGTTATCGGGCACTATGTCACTTAAATAGCCAACGGTTCCCAACATAATTGTTGTAAAGAACACGGCTGTTTCACGGCTGACGATCAACACGAGAACGTAATGATACATAGTAAATTAGAATACATTATTAGAAACCTACCATCTAGAAAAGTTAATCCCTTGGCTTCCTACATTTCCATAAAAACTGGTCAAAGCAAGGTCGATCCAACAGCAGACAGACATGTTCAAAGTAACTTGACTTGATTAACTTACCATGTACGCGTATTCGACACCGTGTAATAAAGATGAACTGGTGAGCACAAGGAACAAGATCGACATCAAGAAGATCATCACCCTGCTGGTGACCTGCCCTAACTTCAAAACCGACTTTTCGCTCCTCACAAGACAGTCGCACACCGACAGGTAGCAGCGAATAAATCGGAAAGGGTAAAAGAAGACAACATAACGGAATTCTTTTATGACAGATCCCAAAACGGTGACGAACACAGGATAAACGGTTAAGGCCGTGAGGATCGGAAAAGCCTTCGTGAATAGGGAAGCCCACGTTTCAAATTCGTATATGTAAAATTTCGGAATGTACTCCATGAGTAACAAGATGGCAGTTACGGCTTCAAAACACACGTTGAACATTGGCAATCCCTCGTTCAGGTGTACCGTATTTAAAATGTAGATTGCGCACAACAATATGTTGATGAAAGCGTCCACTAGCTTCCAAATACTGCCAATTGCCGAATTGTCAAGTTCAACAGCCAACTGTTCACGCCATGACGGTTGATATAAGGGGTGATAGTGCGGTTGTTTTAAAGTGAAATTTGTGGAAGAAACTGATATTACTGAAGGAGTTCGACTAGAAGGAGCCGAAGTTTTTCTAGATGGAAGAATAAATGTAACGTGATTTTGTTCTTCAAGTGGCTCAGGAGTCGAAACAATTCTAGACATTTTGTTTCCAGCCGAACAAGTTCACCGTGAGGTCATCTCACTAGTTACGAAGCATTATTATATCGTGCCCGAGTTTTTACAAATATATCAGCCTCATTGCATCCTTAAATGAGATAATCTTCAAAAAAAAAAAAAAAAACAAGTCACGTGAATTCACTGTGATAAGTTGTGGTTTACACGAGAGCGTGAACTTTTTAATGACCTCCTCCTCACCTTCTAAAATTCTCTTAGCACGACTGACAGCCCAAATATTCAACCATTCCTATAATCCATCTGGCGTACGGACGGGCAACAAAATCCTTCGCCAAAGGCTTATAGGTCCCACGATCACTAACTGGTATCCCAAACACCTAATAAAGCTGAGTGAAATTACCGAGTTGTTTCCCGGGTTTAAATTGGTCGACCTAGAAGAAAAGCAACGTTTAGAAGACATTGCGAGGCTAAGAAAGCGTGGAAAGGGTGCACCGAAAAAAGGTCTGTTCGCATTCGCTCCCCAAATCGTTCACAATTTAAACCCAAACTTAATTTAAAATGAACACCTTTCAGGTCAAGGAAAGCGTTCCACGTTAAACGCGAAAAAGAAGAAATGATTTCATCGATCTCGGATGTAAAAAAAAAAGATTTTATCAAAAAGTGATTCAGTTTTACTTTACACCCCTGGTTTAATATGATAATACCCGACAGGAAAAAAAATTAGACTACACAATTCATTATTACAAATTAAATGTGATTTGCAGGGAACGAAAGCAACCCCGGTAAAAAGTTTGCACTATTTGAGCTGTTCTTCCCTTTGCAAGATTTCCTTATTCAATTGAATCAGTATAGTGGTACGTAGCGGAAAGCCCTCTTGTGGTACTGAATGCGCAGTCACTCGGGAAGGCTAAACGTACCCCCAAAAAAATCGATTCAATTATTAACCTATATTAGGATGACCATATTTTCGTTGAGTCCTACTTACGAATTGAGCTCCGTCCAAAATTGCCTCGACGATGCCTGCGAGGAACGAGTTGCAGTTTAATTGCGAGAGTTCTTTGGGAACAGAAATATATCTGGTTATCAGGGGATCGTTATCCGAAATCATATCTGTTGCGCGTTTCGTTATTCGTCACGATCGAATCAGTTAGGGTAGAGATTGATGGTAGACCGATTTTTTTTAAAAAAAAAAAAATACAATACATTCGTTCTCGCGTTCCGTACTTTTTTCCAAAGAATCCGCTTGTTTGCCAAAAAGGGTTTTCCAAACTGTCGTGTGAATAAAATACAGTATACCCAAAACTCGTATTTCCCTTTTGCTATTTCTTTCTCTCCACACGATTAATTCTAATAGGCGCGTTCCCACCCTATAACCAAAGTCGTTTAGCCTAAAAAATTTTGTCAAATGGTCAATAAGTAAGTGGTCAGATAAGAAAAGAATGGTGCGATCTCTATACAAATCTAAAGAGAACCTCACTTTCGTTCGAGATCTTGGATTCCATGCACACGTTTTTGTGCATACTGAAGCATTTCGGAAAACAGAAATGCAAAGGCACTTAGTCCAACCTATCAAAGAAAATTTAGGTGGGTGCTCTAACCAGAGATGCTGTTGCTAAGTGCACTCAATTTACCTCGGTGCCTTTGGTTTTGTTAAGATTTCTATCAACAATCGAAACGCGCTTTATTAAGCGTGTCTCGTTTGAAGATAATGCTGATACTCTAGAGGCTTGAGACATTATGGATTGAATTATGATCTCTCATTCCAAAATTGTAGCCAAAGAGGCCAACGATCTTAATGCGAGGACACCATTTTTAGGCAAATTGTCCTTACAAATTCC